AAAATAAGAGATCCTTACTTTCACGGATGTAAAACTTCTTCTGAGAAATAGATGATATATTCAACAGACATCTCCTAAGTGATGTCTTTGCTGAAAGTGACAACTTTACACAGCAGTGTGATGTCTAGAAAAGACAGAATAAATCTGATTTATGTTATGATTCTTGGAACAAGTTGTAGAAGAAGAAAGTACTTTGTAAATAACATACAATGTCCCAGAATATAGTCTGGGCACTTATATTTACTTTGGAAGCAGGTGCAGTGGGCCTGCCTGCATTCCAGCTACTTGGGAGGCTGAGGCAGGAGGATCACTTGTTAGCCCCGGGAATTCGGGACTAACATGGGCAACATAGTGAGAACCTGTCTCTTCAAAACAAAAGATCTTAGCCATTGTCACACAATTTAATTAAATTTGTGCCAGCTTGTAAGAAAAAAAGAAAGAAACAAGAGAAAAACGGAAAACATACATACACTTTAGGAGAGAACCACTATTTTGAGATGAACAGCTCTGATTTCAGAAATATCTGTACTCTCAATTGTACTTTACGGCCTTTCCACATCCTGTCAAAGCTACTTCATTTTTTCAGTTGACTCTCAGTCTAAAAGAAAGAGCTCTGGATAATAAAGTGATGCAGGCGCCACAGAATCAAATGAGCTCTGGGATTTCAGAGAGTTTACACAAGGCTAACTCACTTCAAGCTGGTAGAACTGGGAGAGGCTAAACTGGCTGGCAAGAAAAACTGGTCCTCTTGGTGTGGTCATTCAGATGGTTTCTACAGTGTGGATAATTCCCACAATTCTGAGACTGCACACTTTAACTGACTGTGTTGTGATTATCACCAACATTTCTGTAGACATATACACAATTTCCCAGAAAGATACCACGTGCTTCTATCATTAACTAGATACCTAAGTGGTAAAATGTTGGGCTTTTGGATTTCAGATTTGAGAAGAATTTATTGATGTTCAGAAAGTCAGGAAAGAGACTTATATGAGAAGCCTTGCTGATTTATTTAGTTGATTACTTGAGGAAAGGGATTGATTGTCTAATGTATAAATTGTCTCATTTTTCCAGGATCAGATTAAACCATGGGCTATTGGTTGAAAAATTAGAATCATTTTTAAAGGGCATTTTGGGTTGGGTAATACCTTCTTCATTCCTCTCCTTGGCATAGGCATTCCTGTCTCTTGCGGATTTTGCTAGCAGGGTTAATCTAAGTGGGAAATTTCTGTCATAGAAACTGGTTTGTAGCCCCAAAACAGCCTAGACAGGGAGCCAGAAATAGTGAGGAAAGTGGAGAGGGGGTGGGGTAACCTCATGTCAGCTTTACAAATCCTGATCCTGAGATTCTTTCCTTTTAGGGTTGCTTTCCACCAGATTTCTTTGCTGAAGTTAGGGCTAATCCTTTCTTTTCTCCCCTTCCAGAAGTCAGAGTTGTGAAAAATCCTAACAGTTTAGATGGGTAACAAGCAAAAAGTTTTCACATAGGTTTTTACTTAATTGTTACAAATGAAGTAGACATAATTACCCATTTTTCCCCTTCCCTTAGAAGGCTGAGGTTCAGAACAATGCAAATTATTCAAGGTGCTATCTCTAGTGAGTAGGAAGCTCAAACTTAAAAAGTCATTCTGATCCAACCATGAACACTTTTGCCCTACTGTATATATAAACAAGGGTACATTTAGGGACCTTGTTTCATTATTTATTTTTTTGAATCCCTGAGGCCTAGTATCATGCCTAGCACTTACTGTGTGTTCATTATATGTCTGTTGCATTAAAAGCTAGGTTTTGCTGTCATAGACCATCATTTCTGAAGAGGAAGATGTTATCTAGGAAGTTGTGGGAATTTTGATTCCTTGCACAGTTCAGAGATGTCTGAATATAAATCATTTAGGGAAGGGTGCAGCAGCCCCTTGGGCATGCCCTATTTTCTTTTCAAGGCAGATTGTTAAGAGTGAGTTGGTTTGAAGGACACACCTCACAAGTCAAATTTGCTGAATGCAGGTATTGTTTCTCTGTGGGTGCCCCATGCTTATTTCCTGTTTTGTTCCCACCTTCTAGTTTCAGTTTCAGATGTCATTGAGGACAATCGGCTCTGTGTCAAGCCTTCATGGGGTTACTGGGGGCAAAGTATCACCCAAACCTACTGTATCCCTATCACTGTTCTGTATCAGACCAAGTATCTTAAAATAAATTCCTTCAAAATCCTTCTTGGGGGCAGCCAGATTTCTGATTTCCTGATTTTTGTAAAGGCGCACACTGCAGGAAGTTGTGGGAATTTTGCTGCACACTGCAGGAAAGCCACTCTTAATAACTGCTCAGAAAAGGACAAAAATAGCTAATATGTAAAGTCTGATTAGAGTAGAGGAATGTCTTTTTAATAAGTAGTACCGACAGCCTAATACACTAAGTAAGCTAAGGTGATAAGGACAAAAAAAGTCTGGAGAAAGGCTGTCCCAACTTTCCTCCTCATTAGAGATATTAATTTGTAAAAAAGGATTCAATGTACTAAGTTAAAAATATATATAAATAACAACAACAATAACAACAAAATCATTAGAGAAATCCTATACAATTTCCCCCTCCCTCCAGATTATTAACATTGTTAAATAATAGGAGGTGTGTTGAAGGACGAAAAAAAAAAAAGATGATGCAACTATTGGACGATTTTTTAAAAATGATGTTTTCCTTCACTTTTAAAGAGAAAAGTGGACTAATAGGATAAAGGGCTCCGTGTTGGACAACTTGATCATCTTTTTCTTGTGCTGAGCTAAGCCAGCTATACAAAGAGCAGGAAATTCAAAACCATTTACAAACTTCTTGTTTTGCTCTTAGAGAACTGTTCACATCATTCAAGAGGTCACCTGGAAAAAAAGGTACATAAAATACCATTTATAAAATATAATATATATTTTGCATAACTTATACCATTTAATGATCTAAACAAAGGATCTAGAAATTTCTAGATCCCTTCCTTCTTATAATTGTTATTTTAAAAATTGCCTATCACATAATTTTACATTTCCTATTTCATATCATTCAGTTTATATCTTGTGTTCCTTGTCTACCTTTGTCTTCTTACTTAAAAAAAAAAAAGTCCTCAGTATCCTTCACATTTTGGCCACAAACTCTCTCTCTTCTCCCACGGTATATGTTTTTGTACAGTTGCTTCTGTCTCTGGACTGTTTCCTGAGCCTCTGTGTTCTCTGTATGGGAGCTGTAATCGATAGTCTAATCTTGGATCTATTCTCCAAATTAGTTCATGTCTCTGTTTAAGTTTATTAGCATGGATTTCTGGCCAAAAAACTATGTCAAATAAGAATTTAAATAAGGTTTAAAGAATTAGAGAAGCATTGAATAAAATTATGTAGTAGTGTGCTAGTTTTACATCATTTTCTAAAAATTCCAACAAGGGTACACCTCCACGAATAAAAGGATAGTTCTTTGGGCTCCCTTCCCCCAGTGTTTTAGACAGATGTCTGTGTCTAGTTCCAGTTAATATAAAAAGGGACCTATTTCCTTAGCTGCTTTGGAAAGAAGAAAGCTGATGTTAAAGCCATGTTATGTGCCTTCCCATTTTTCACAAGTAACATAATAATTCACAGAAAACATACAGAGGAGCAGAAAGGAGAAACTGTTTTTCAAGGGTTGATTATTTAGATTAGAACTCATGAATGTGCTATTTATGGGTTTTCAAGTTTGGCAGGAGACGAGGATTGAGGAGGCAGAAAGGAACTATAAATGTTCCAGGGTTGTCTCTTACATCTCCTGAACATATTCCGTGTGAAAGTTTCTCCAGCCTAAGGCACCTAGTTGGTTTGCTTTTTGCCCCGCCTCGGGAGAGGTGTCCACCTTAATAACTATACTAATTATAATGGACAATAAATGGTACTTTATGGGCTACTGAGGACCAAGCAGCTCTGGAAGCCTTCATTAAAACAACAGCACAACCACAGTCTCTGGAGGAATGCTATTATAGTGATTAGATGTTTAGGTTCCCTCATCATATGCAGTTTTTATTGAAAAAACCTTCCTTTGAACTTTTTTTTTTAATTATAGAAAAATTTCAAGGTACAGAAGGTAGAAAGAATAAGCATGCAATCTGTATCGCCGAGCTTCACCAGCTTTCCATTTTTTGTCCATCTTGTTCATCTATCTCCGTTTTTTTTTTCCCCCTCCTGGGTCAGAAAAATTTTAAACAAATACCAAAACATGATGGCATTTTAAAGACCCTAAAAATGTTACAGTAACTTGATTGGTTATTGCAAAATAGCTCTGGATAAAATAAGAAACGTTAAAAAACAAACAAAAAAAAAACAAAACAAACAAAAAAAAACCACAAGACTTCCCCCCCTGGCAGAAGTGGTTGTCACAAAGACTGTCTAGCATAGTGTATCTCCCTGGACAGGTGGAGGTGCCCCGGAGAAAAGACACAGACCCTGAGGCAGGTAACTGAATGCCATCAAAGACACCTAATCTGAGCATGCGCACCCATACCTCAGAGTTGCTAAGGCCAGGAGGAAGATAGAGGTGCAGGATACAGCGAGAGCCAATCAGAGGGCGCAAAAACTAATCAGTTAGCCAATCCAGATTCAAAAGTGAATCAGGTCCTCCGCATTCTGCTCACCCCACCCGTATCCAATCAGAGACCCGGCTACTTTGGGCGGACTTTTCAAAACAGGGGAAACAAAACAAATCGGGGACCTTTAAAAGGTGCGATGAGACCAGAAATGATCTCCTTCCGCCTCTCAACCAGCTCACTGCCCTTTCCTCCTTTCAATCGTGAAATGAGACGGATGCCCAGACTCCACCCACGGCCTTTGTAACTGGGCGGGGGCTGGCTAGGTACAGCCTAGGAGAGGCTGTGGAGGCCCAGAGAGACACTGGACACTGTGGCTTAGAGGCGGGACTCTTTTTCAAAGTCTGTGGAGGAAGTGAAGGATTCCTCCGCGGAGAGTCACGTGCCCCGCCCCCTTGGGGGCGTCGAAAACTCAAAAAACAAAAACAAGGGCTTTGCTGGGGCCTCGCTGAGGCTAAGGCGGTGCAGGTAGAGGCACCGGCAGTGAGGGGTCAGCGTTGTGCCCAGAGCTGGGTGGGCGCTGGGGGGAGCAGGATGAAGACAGGGCTGTAAGGCCGAGGCGGCCGCGGCAGGAGGGAAGGCTGGGATGTCGGCCCCGGGGCACCGCTGAGGCGGCAGGTCCCAGACCTCGGAGACGGGTCCGGCGCCCCCACCGCACCCCATATACTCTGAAGTGCAACGCCAGGGGCCGTGGAGGCGCACCTTTGGCACGGTGAGTGGGCCTCCTGGGATTGCTCTGGGTTCCTTTGTTCCTCCTCGAGATTGTAGTGGGGATGGGGGAGGGTGATTAGAGACTTCTGGTTGCTGCCCACCCCTCATCCCCCCCCCCCCCCCCCAACAGCCCGGGTCCTGCCCTTTGCTCCAGCCCCTGGGAGTTGCGGCAGTCAATGTTGGTGGGGTGGATGAAGGGGGGCAACAAGGCTAAAAGCAGTTCTCTGCTTCGGCATCCACACCTCCTTTTGTCACGGGGGCTTGCTTGGGTGGTGCTTCCAGGATTGACAGCCCCAGAGCTCCGCACAGTTGCGGAACCCAAGCATGAGTGGATTCACTGGTGATGTTCCGGTGTGGGCAGACTGAAGCTCTGTATCTCGACCCCAGCCCAGTGGGCCACGCCCCCTCTCGGATTGGGGTGTCTGGCACTTGGGGTACTTAAGTAATTGGCGCTGCGGAAGTGGATAGGGAAATCTTGGAGGCTGGGCTTTGACAGGGGTCTCTGGTGCTGGGATCCCCAGGCGGGGCGGAGCTCGAGAGTCTCCTCCCTCTGGTTCTTTGTTCAGTCGCGAGACTTTTTCTCCCCTCCTTCCTATTGTGCAGTACCCCACCTCCAGAACCCTGGAGCTTCCCCGGCTCCCTGCTTGGTCCCTATAGTCCCTGTGCAGTCCCCTGGACAGAAGTCCTCTATGCACAGCTTTAGGTGGGGTAGATAGGCAGACCCTAGGGACGCTGCCAACCCGCAGACAGTTTCCTGTTTGTGAAGCACCTCAGCTGGGGCTGGCTGGTTTGGCCCAGCGCTGGCCAGCGGACGTGACCACAAGCCCTTCCCCTGCCACACCTCCTTGGCGGTCAGGGAGGTTCTGGCAGATTGGTCCCCTCACCACCATTTCCTTGCAGGGGTGTGCTGGCGCGCCCCTCGTTGGAGGTATTGCCATCATTTTTTTCTGCCTTACTTCACGGTGCCCGCACCCCCAAGTTACATATTTAACCTTATGTGGTGTCTTTGCTACAGATGAAGGATTTGGGGGCAGAGTACTTGGCAGATCGTGAAGGAGTTCAGCTCCTTGGATTGTTGAGTTTCTATCTGGAACAAGAGCAGAGATTCCAACCTCGAGAGAAAGGGCTGAGCTTGATTGAGGCTACCCCAGAGGTAAGTTTGCAGGAAGGAGGACTTGCTCAAGTAGCTAATGGGGATTGGAGAAGGTGATCCCGCCTCCAATTGAATGAAGACTTAGGCCAGCAAAAGACCAAAATTGGTCTTCCTGGAGTACTAAGAAAAACCTTAATACTCTACAGGATCGTGTTTTTGTTTCTTAGCAAGAAAGGAAGTAATACCAAGTATAGAGAAGTTCAGATGTTAGTTTCCCCAGCCTGCTTCTTCTGAGTGGGAGACTCTTAGAGAATTGAGCAGTTCATTTCCTACCCTCTGCCTATGAAATATTTATAGAATCTTAGCTGATTTTAGAAAAACAAAAACAAGCAAGGAAACATTTATTCTAAGGGAACTGAATTATACTGTATTTGCTGTTGCCCTCAGGAGTGTGGCAAAAGTTCAGGTTATGTTGAATTGCTGAAGTTCTTTTATGATGTGATTTTTAAATTAGTATTTTACATCTTACATCTGATGAAGCTTTATTAACCACTCTTTCCCTCTGTGTTGTTGAAAGTTAAAGGGAAAGGATACCTTATTCTTTGAATCTGTGCATCATTTATATAGTTTTAAGAATATAATTAACTTTGGCTCTTGTTTTTTTATTGTAGAATGATAATACTCTGTGTTCAAGATTGAGAAATGCCAAAGTAGAAGATTTAAGGAGTTTAACTAACTTTTTTGGATCTTGCACTGAAACGTTTGTTCTAGCTGTCAATATTTTGGACAGATTCTTGGCTCTTATGAAGGTATTTAATCATTTCTGTAATTACATCCTATCAATACCTTTTCTATGTCCAGAGCGTAGCACAAAGGGTTCAGTAAATATTTATTAAGTGAACGTAACAGAAGTCTATTATACATATACATTTATAATAAGAATTGTGATTGTTAGTGCCAATGCCAGATCAAGAGACTTTAAGTGTATATTGTATCTTATACTAGGTTTTGCTGTACCTCTTAAATACTTTTTCTTGGAAAATGTGACAAAAAGAAGACTTTTTTCAGTACTCAATATAAATATGTATACAGTTCTCAAAAGAAGTTTTCATTTTCATCACATTTCTATTAGAGCCTAGATGCTTTTAATTCCAAAACACAACAAATGAAGTAGACACCCTTCCCTGTGAGTCTTTTGAAAGTGAGCCACAGTCATTAACAATCACTAGCAACTGTTAGAAAAATGTGGTAATTCTCCTGCCAGTAGGATTGCTCTCAGCTGCTAGGTCAGTTTTCAGGGCACTGGAAAGAAAAGGACAGCCATCTGTCCATTGCATCTTTTATACATGTCCCACATGCTGCACAAACTGATGCAATATTTCTCTTGGGTAAAATAATGTAGAAGTATGGAATAGTTCTTAAGGATTTTTTGCATAAAAAGTTGTAGAAAGTATTGTTTTTATATCTGAAGATGTAGCAGGTTTTCTTTTTTTAACGTTGAAAAGCTCAATTTTTTTGAGGGAGATTTTATTTTAGATTTACAAAATTTAAAAGATTACAGAGTATTACTCAGTGCTAGAAATCTAACTTTTCACTGCATTGTGTTTTTTTCCCCTTGCATTTAAGTATTTTAAATGTTCAAAAAAACCTTATTTACTTTTTTAAACTGGATTTTGATTTTACTGGTGCTGGGGATGGAGATTGAACCCAGGGCACTCTGCCACTGAGCTACATCCCAGCCCTTTGTTATTTTCAGACAGGGTCTCGCTAAGTTGCTGAGGCTGGCATTGAACTTGCCATCCTCCTGCCTTTGCCTCCTGAATCACTGGGATTATAGGCATGTGCCACCATGCCAGGCCTAAAAACAAATGCTAAGAAGTTCTAAAATGTAAAAATGAGTATAATTGTGGGTAAAGGCAAGTGTATATATATAAGAGAAGCAGCTGGATTGTGTTCTCTTTTAAGAGTAGGGGCATGATTACTATATATTTTTAAGTATCTGCTATACTTAAAGTGACAGTTAAAAGAATTCTTTTGTTTTTGTTTTCCAGGTGAAACCTAAACATTTATCTTGCATTGGAGTCTGTTGTTTTCTGCTGGCTGCTAGAATAGTTGAAGAAGAATGCAATATTCCGTCCATTCATGATGTAATCCGGATTAGTCAGTGTAAATGTACTGCTTCTGACATAAAACGGATGGAAAAAATAATTTCAGAAAAATTGCACTATGAATTGGAAGCTACTACTGCCTTAAACTTTTTGCACTTATATCATACTATTATACTCTGTCATATATCAGAAAGGTTAGTGGGATTAATAATGAAAGTTTTGTACTTTGAGCATTGCTGTAACAGTAAAATATTAGGGTGCCAGTTTTCAACTTGTTCTCTTTTTGGTTTTTGATTCTGAGGATGTGGCTCAGTGGTTAAGTGCTGCTGAGTTTTGGGGACTTATTAAGTTGCTTAGGGCCTCATTAAGTTGCTGAAGCTGTCCTTGAACTTGGGATACTCCTGCTTCAACCTTCCAGTTCTCTGGGATTCCAGGCATGCAGCACCACACCCAGATCAACTTGCACTTTTAATAGGAAGTTCTTAAAATCATTTAAGACTTTGACATTTTGTATTTTATAGGAAAGAAATACTGAGCCTTGACAAACTAGAAGCTCAGCTGAAAGCTTGCAACTGCCGACTTGTCTTTTCCAAAGCAAAAGTAAGTATTTCTTACACATCTCATAGTTTCTATTTTGAATTTTAAAAAGTAAATTTAATTTTTTCTTTTTTCTTTCTCTTTTTATCTTTTGATAGCCATCTATATTAGCTTTGTGCCTTCTCAATTTGGAAGTAGAAACTTTGAAATCCGTTGAATTACTGGAAATTCTCCTGCTTGTTAAAAAGCATTCCAAGGTAAATATCTTAAGTCCAAGGGTTTTTTTCCTGATATTTCATTTTTTTCCCCCTGTGGTATCTTAAATATTAAGTAATATAGTATGGGGTTCTTAATTTTTGTATTCATTGTTTTCTTATATATCAAGTATAAATACAGCTTTGGATATTAAGCTAGATGGGAGTTTGATCAGTTAGTCCAGCACTGTGTTTGCTTGCAGGTGTTCTTTCTGTAGTATCACGTCAGAGGCTAATAAAGCTGTATATATTGCCACATGCACATTGTTTTAAAATGTATACTAGGAAGTAGACTTAATATGTGCATTAATAGAATAGGATGGCATTCCTTCTCATCTGTAGGGCTGAATCATTTCATTAGTAGCATACCAAATTAACATCAGCATTATTTCTCTTTTTAAGCCTCTTAGGCAGGCCATCCCAGTGTTTTTGCAGTCAAAAAGAGGGGTAAGGCAAAAATAAGCACAGTTTGTTTTTATAAACTAATAGTCTAGTTGAGGAAACAAATCATGAGATAGTGTATTCTGTTGTTTATTATCATGTTTCAATGCAGATAATAGTGAATATAGGAATGTTTGGGGGTTGTTAGCCAAGATATATGGCAGACCAGGAGAGGAGCCTGGTGAGTGCTAAGAAATTCTTGAAGAGTGAAGGTTTGCACAATAAAGCTTATATTTAAGAAATTAGTAGACTGTTAGAAGATGGGTTTGGAAAGTCATTTTAGGGTAGGCTTGTAGGTAGACTGAGTGATAGCCACATGCAGGAATAAGAAAAATCAAACACAAGCAATAGTTTTCAGAGCCAATCATGGAAATGAGGCAAGGAATGTGAATGACCAAGATTTGGACCTAGAATGGAGAGAATATTGGCATAATTCAAAGAAACTTGGAAGAAGTTAATTTGTGATGAAAGAAGTATGATTTCTGATGCTTGCATACCCAGGCATGCATGTGTTTGGCAGCCTGGAATAAAAACTCAGAAGATAAATTGTGGTTAAAGATTTAGTTTGGAAATTTTCCATGAAGAAGTGATAGTTGAAACCTAAAGAAACTTAGGGAGCTTCTTTGAAGCTCTAGGGTTTTCAATATTGCCCTTTTCTTCCCTTAGGACCCAAGCAAGATAGAGAGGTACATCCAGACAAGTAAGAGCATGGTCAGGTTGGAAAGAGGTTTTTAAGAAGGAGGTGGCTAAGAGTATTGAATTTTGATGAGAAGTTTAGTATAATGAAAATTGAAGGAAGTCATTGATGTCTTGGAGGTGATGTTAATAGAGTAGTGAGAAAGGATTGGTTGAAGCCAGATTATAGGAGGCTTAACATGTGACTGAATCTAGTGGAAATGGAGGCCAAGATGATACAAAAACCTTCTGCTTGAGGTGGAAGGGCATGTGAAATATTTTTTTGGTAACTTCTAGGCTTTTTAATCATAATTTTACAGTTTTCATCTGAACTTATTAATGGTGATATATGGAGGCATCATCAGTGAAAATTGATTCCATGAAATAAACTGGGCATTACCCAGTGGTGAAGGAACTATTTTTTTTTTTTTGGTGGGGGGATCTTCTTTCATATTGGTAACTTCTCCTTTAGTTTATATCTGGTGTCACAATATAAATGTATATTATTAGCAACCTATACAGTGTCTTGTTATAGAAACAACATTGATTTCTATAACAATGTTTATGTAACAAAAGGAAAGTTAATTTTTTTTTTTGCATGGGACTAGTAAAGAATATACTTGTGGGGGAAAGAAAAGTATAATATATTTGATAGTTGATTTATTAAAAGACAGTTTTTTTAAGTCAGTGTGTTAGAGTAGGCAAACCTTTCTATGTATTGAATGCTATGTAAATTATAGTGCTCTTCCTATAAAATTGGTTCCCAAATTTTGATCGCATTTAAATTATCTGGGGGACTTAAAAATCTCTTGACACCCAGGTTATACTCTGTATCAAATTATAATATTATAATATTTTTTTTTAAACCGATCACCTGATAATTCCAAGTGCAGGGTTTGGGAACCAGTGCTATGACCTCTTCATTAAAATATATATATATTTTTTCCTCACAGATTAATGACACCGAGTTCTTCTATTGGAGGGAGCTAGTATCTAAATGTTTAGCTGAATATTCTTCTCCTGAATGTTGCAAACCAGATCTTAAGAAGTTAGTTTGGATTGTTTCAAGGCGCACAGCTCAGAACCTCCACAATAGCTACTATAGTGTTCCCGAGTTGCCAACAATCCCAGAGAGGGGTTGTTTTGATGAAAGTGAAAGGTAAGCAGGTATCTTGGCTAATTAGACTTCCACACACTGTAACTAATTTTTATTGAAAAAGAGCTGTGGATCACTGCAACATAAGGCATCAGAAAAAGGTCCTACTCTTATTGCATAATTTCTTCAAAAGAAAAAAGTTAACCAGCAGTTTCATTAAAATGATAATAATTTATAAGCCTCCCCTTAAAAAAAAGGTGGTTTTTGTCTCTGTCTCCTGCTCTTTGAAATATAGATCAGTTAAAACAAATAACAGTATTCTAGGCTTTTTAATGTTCAAATGAATTTCTAATATGATGCTATGAGGAAGAGACTGAGGGGTAGGTGACTGGAAAATAAAGGGGCCAAGTTCTACAGATATTTTTTCAGTTTTGCCAAATGTCATTTTCTTTTTTAGAATTAATCAATTTTGTAAAGTGAATATTTTTAATAAACTTGATTGTTTTATGCTACAGAGATAAAAGACTGGAATTTTTATTTTTGTAGCTTGTTGGTTTCTTGCTTTGATACTTGGAGAGGATTAGTGATGATTATTGATACTAGAAAGACATTTAAATAGACTATGGAATAGGACATATGTTGTCTTTAGTTTGCATTTCTTGGATTTAAAACACTTAGAATTCTTTAATTAGTTAATGCAAGAGTTGTTATTTGGAATAAGAATATTAGTTTGGCAAGTAGTAATTTGTGTAAATCTCTTAAAGAAAAATTATTTTCTAATGAGATTACAATAAACTTCACCCTAGGAGATCCTTACAAGTCAAATTCGGCTCTGTATTATAAAGAATAACGTTTGTATACAAAGTCCTAAGACTAGAGATATTCATATAGACTACAGCATATAGACAGACTACAGTTTAGTTCTTTTTCCTATAAAGCATCTGTGTATTTTAAGTAACGATCCACTCTTTTTGTCTCTTTTTCCCTTTAGTGAGGACTCTTGTGAAGATATGAGTTGTGGAGAAGAGAGTCTCAGCAGTTCTCCACCCAGTGACCAAGAGTGCACCTTCTTTTTCGATTTCAAAGTGGCACAGACACTGTGTTTTCCATCTTAACTAATTGTTCTGTGTCAGAGTTTAAATTTGTCTACCAGTTTTAAAGCAATAAATGGGGGAGTAGGTGGTTTTCTGGTCCAGCCCCCATCTAGGCAGGAATTACATGGACTAGAATACCTACCTTCTATTTATTATTCAGATCAGATCTGGCCTATTTTCATATTTAAATCCTAAGCCATCAAATGGGTTAGTGCCTCTTAAATAATTAACAATACTTTAGATATTGGCACTTTATTTTTGTTGTTGGTCTTTAGCTATCTGGGGCAGGAAGGAAGGTGCTGATACCTTTAATTTGTTACTTTTCAAGAAGATTTTTAAAGTTGAGTAGTGTAGCGTAAGCTTTTTTATAAAGCCTTCAGGTGTCTTTATTTAACAGATTGGGAGTGTGCAAGTGCTTCCTTAGCAGGGACAATGGTTAATCTTTTCATGGTTTATCTTAGATTTTCTTCTCTCATTCTCAGAACAGAGACTACACAGTATTCTTAAATGTCAAACATATTCTGTTGCTTTTTAAGTGACCATTGTACTATTTGATGCAGATCCTATAAACTTAGGAATTGTTAACATTTCTGTGAATTTTAGTATATAATGTCTTTAATTGAGGTTTCTGCTAAAGCAGAAATAATTGTTAAGCTAGAGTTGCTAGATAGTTGAATCCTTAATGCCTAAGTATTGTCAGACTATAGTATTATTTTAATGTTATTAAAAAACCCATAATCTGCTAGTTTTGCATGTACCTGTATGAAAGCAGTACAGGAAGTTAAACAGAACTAGGTTAACTATGGAATTGATAAATGTTGATTTAGAAGCACATTTTATCTCATTTTCTTATATTAAAAAGTCTGCATGATCACATTTTATTTCATTTGTAATTCACATTTCAAAAATAATGTGTTAGTATATGGGTGCCAAGATTTTAATATGAAGTAAAAAGAACTCCAGTGTTTGTAGTATTATAGTTTTAAGCAAATCTGTTGTGATCCAGCTGTACGGATGGGGATATATAAAAACTCTGTACACCTAAGATTTTGTACAGAGAATTTTTAACTTTATAAAACTGTATATGAAAATGTAAATCTTTAATATTGTACATAAAATACTGTATTTTTTTACCTTGTGTGTGTGATAGTCTAGTCATTGCATGTAAATATAATTTATTATGTATTCGGTGTTATAATCAGACATGGATGACTTACTTTTTTACTGGTAAGTCAACATCCATTGGATGTTTTCTGAAGTGGATTTTTTTGAAGTGATAATAGATTATAATTCAATAAAAATATCATTGAATTTTTGTTTGCAATCACATCTTAATTTTTAATCTTTTGGTAAAAATACTTGCTGAATTTCAATGAGAAGGCTTGAAGTGCCTCTACCGTCAGCCTTCTAACTGGCTACCAAAAGTCCTTTGGGTAATAGCTCCTTACCACAGTTTTGTTCTGCCTTGAAAGTACCCAAAGTGAATCTGTCACTTGAGGATTGACTTCTCTCTGGGGTGGATTCATATTAAAGTAAGCTCTCAGAGACTGGGAATTAACCTGAATGCCTATTAAATTACTGTGAAAGGCAACCAGAATGCCCAGGTTGGCAGGTCAGTACAATCTCTGACAAATCAAATTCTAATTACAATGTTGCTTAGTGAATAAGCATGGATGGAGTCCTGCTGGCTACTGGCTGTTTGGATCTTTACGTCTCAGGTTGTTTTGCAAGAGGTGATCTTTTTTTGTAGAAGTTCCCCCATCTAGTTTGATTTTGTAGACTTCATTTTCTGGGTTGGTTAAAAATCAAAGTACCCTGAATATGGTTTTCATGTAATACCACTCCTTCCTTGGAGATAAGGGTGTATTTTCCTACCCTTCAATGGAGAATCTGCTTGAGGATGATTTTCTGAGTAATTTTGGCACATAATGAACAAAATATTCTGCATTCAGATTTTGGTTCTTTGAGATGTAAAAGTTATTTGTGACTTTCCAAATCTTAGGACCCTCTTAAGTTCCCCCAGGGTTGTATTGCTTCTTGCTAGATGCTCCTTCTGAGTAAGTCGGATATGATTTCATTTGAACCCTTTTCTGATTTTAAGTATATTATGTTTAGACTTCTTTATTGAGCTCCCAAACCTGTTTATTTACAACTGGCCATTCTACTTGGAAATTCCTGATCACTCCTAAACCTGCTCTTCCTGTATGTCTATCTCAGTGAATAAAAGTTCTATCTATTCAAGTCAGAAACTAAGGTGATATCTTCATCTCTTCTGCCTGTTTACTGAAGGGTCACCAGCCTCTTATCATTTATGTGATTTTCTTAATGCTGTTTATCTCTCTTTACTTGGTCTCTTTTTCCATCCCTGGTTCAGACCTGCCTTCTTACTAAGAGTTATTGCAATATGTTAGTGATTGTTCATTTGAGGCTTATTGCTTATTTCTTCATTGCTACCTGTACATACTGTTAAAATATGTAAAATTGACCTGAAAAATTGTTTAATAGGGCCCAATCAGAAAACCTATCTTATGACATATAAGTCTCTTTCTGATTAATGTACATTTGTTTCTGGCTTGTTTCTCCATACCATTTCCTATAGCTTAAAAATTTGTATTAAGAAAACTGACAGCTATGTGGAAGACGGACTGAAGCAGGTGTGTGTGCTTTGCTGTTTCTGTTGTGCATGGTGAAGTATTATGCCAGGGCCCTTGGTCTCTACCCATCTGACACTGCTTCTACCTTTCCCTGCAGGAAGTTGAGATTAGACAAACAATTTGCTTTAATTACCTGTCACACTCAGAGCTGATACTATTACAAAGGCATTGTTTGCACACTTCTTATGGCGATTTTAACCATTTGTGATCTAGGATCTGCCTTTGTCTTCAATTCTTTTGAGCATTTTAACATTATGTTCCAATATAGCATCTCTGCTTACCTCTCATCCCCCTACCACACATGCAAATTATTAATTTAGTTAGGTAATCCACTTAGATTTTTATATGTGTTAAAACAATGTACCTTGCATTTGCTATTTTTGAACTCAGTTTTCCTAATTATTTAGTACCAGAAATTATAAAAAATTTATATTCATTTGTGTTTAGCCAGTCATATTATATCATAGGTAGTTTCCCAAGATGGCAGCAAGTGAGTCTTCAGTACAAGCTGCTGGAATACAAGCTGCTCTTTTTATCAAATTATTGAAGTCTATTTCCCTTGAAGTTTGGCCTTATGATTGGCTTTGCCTACTAAAGTGCGGTGGAAGACATTCAGTGTATATCTACACCTAGGTTTTAAGAGTATGGCAGTTACCTTTTTAATCCCTCTTCGAAGCCAGCTACCATGCTGCAAAAGAGCTCTGGCCGAGTTACTGAAAGTTGGAAAGACATGGAGAGTGGGTCTTGAGGATGAGAGACCATCTGGGGTGATCTGAGCTCCCAGGTGAATACCACTGTCTACTCCCTGTGGTATACATCGTAGAGGAATCACCCGCTGATCCCAATCAGCTTACAGACAAAAATAATAAGTCTTTTTTTTTTTTTTAATGTCACTAGATTTTGGGGTGGTTTATTACACAGCAAGAGTTTGTTATTTATGGTCAATTGGTGATTATCTCTGGAGAGATTATAGGTGTTTTTAAAATTATGCTTATCTGTAGTTTCCTTTTTTTTCTTAAAATGGATTTGAATTACTGGCATATTAAAAGAATAAAAAATGAACTTTAAAAAACACATGATAGCTTTCCTTTCATGAAAATTTTTAATGATGTCTTGCTATTCCTTAGCATCAAGTTCAAACTCCTTACTATGAGAAGACCCTCTAGTTGGCTCTGTTCCCTTCTCAGCCTCACTATACTTTTAGCTCCTTCCACTTATGGCTGATTTCATTTACTTCAGTGAGTTCATGCACACTATTTCCTCTGGCTGGAACTCCCCAAGAAGGCCCACTCCTATTGGCCACTCCTGTCACCCTCATCTAATGGACTCCTACCAAATTACCTTACATAGTCTTTCTACCCCCTTATTCACTTGTTCATTTGCTTGTTGGATATCTGAATGTTTCTTATGGGCCAGGCACCACATTATGCTTGCTGTATGGCACAAAGCACAACTCACAATATTGCTGCCCTCTGGGAATTTACAGTCTAGTGGTAGAAACAATGATTCACAATAATTAATATAATTTTTAAAGGGTGTGATGATATTTTCTTATAATCTTTCTGTAACTCCTTGGCTTTACCTGTTAGTGCTACATATTTCCATGAAACCCTATATTTTTTAATACCTTGCTTGTCCGTCCCCCTTGTCTGTTCACCTGACTTGAATATGGGGGCTATTTGTCTCCCTTGTCCTTAGTTGAATGCTCAACACCCGGCAGGATTTCTGGCCCACACTCCTGCAGCTTTATTTAGGTAACAAGCAGCGTTATTGAACACTTACTATGACCCAGGCACCTTACATGAATTATTTAGTCTTTACCACAATGCTATTTGACAACTTCTGCTATTAGTCCCATTTTACATATGAAGAAAATAATGATTAGAGAAGTTAAGTTCCTTCTCACAGATGGAGTAAGTGGCAGGGTTGTAACTCAATCCAAATCTGTCTGACAAACACGATGCTCTTAACCACAATGTTAACTACTCAAAAGTTGATGGTACTCAATTATTGAATGAATAATGAAATTTGTATGAAGAAAATCCTACTCAAAAAAACCAGTAAAGTAAATCATATTATTCTCCTGTTTTTAAGCATTCCCACCCATATAAAGGAAAAGTGGCCAAGATTTAGAGTTAAAATATCTCATACTCAGGAGTCAGATTAGAACACTAATGTCAAAATTCAAGGCATGCACACAGGACAGAATCCAAGGTTTTGTGCATGCTTAGATGCATACTCTACCACTGAGCTGCACCCGCAACCCCCAATGGCTGGGAATTTTAATTTGCCCTGGAAACCTCTTTGTACTCAGGCCTGTGGGCCTTTCTAAAACCTTTAACATCTAGTTCCTTTTATACTTGGGTTATAGTTTATTATTATTCTGGATTCCAAGACCCAAAGTCAGTGTTAATGGGGGTGGAACTTTGTAATAATAGAGGACTGTTAAAAGTTTGCTTGCCCTTTGTCTGTTTTACTATTATCCAACATAGCAATCACTTTGCACTTACTCATTTAGGCTCTGGGATATTTCCAATAAGTATTTCACATGTCTGTGGTTCATCCTCTTGCCTAAACTGTAAGCTTCTGAAAAGAGACTACATATTCTACTTCCTTTATATCCTTCAAGGTGCCTAGCATAATGCTAGGCAAAGAACATGTGTCAACACTTTTCTATGCATTGATGATAATGCCTGAACCGTGTCTTTTCCATTCTTTGTTTGGTGAAGCTAAACTTCTATGCATGTAGGGACAAATTCACCCTCTCCAAAGCCAGGAGTTTAAATCATTAACAGGGCATGTGGGAGGCCCTGGCCCACTGGTAGGATTAGGTGTACCTTATTCAAGAAGGTGGTGTACTGAGGAAGAACATAGGCTCTGCACCAAACTGTCAGGGTTTGAGACTGGGTTTGGCCACTAACTCTATGACCAGGCAGGGTTTTAACTAAAGTGTCTTGTATCTCAGTTTCTTTGTCTGTGTAAAGGGCTAATAACAGTGGCTATCTGAAGTATATTGCCAAGCAGCCCCAGCTGTGCAGAGTGGGGATTGCCTTAGCTGCAGAGAGGCATCTCAGCCCTGGACCATATTCTCCCGGGAATGCCTACTACTAATGGCCAGTTGAGGCTGGAGGATGTATAAGGCCTGGTAACTTGGATCCAATATAGAACAATTCAAATAGACCATTTTGGCTTCAGAGCTTCCAGTGACTGCAGCTATTGTGAGGTCTGCATTGTAGCTTTACTCCCTCTAACCAGCCTTTCTTCCTTACCCTTCCTTTCATGGCTGCTAATCTCAAAGGTGCTCCCTAATAAACACTGTGCATCCTAAATTTTGCCTCAGAGTCCACTTCATGGACATTACCACTGGCAACACTGCCTTCCTGGTTACTATGCATATTAAATATGATGATACATGGTTTGGGAACAATGCCCAATAAGACACTCAGTAAATATTGGCTGTAATGATTATTATCCCACTTTTGTCCCCACCTTTACCTTCCTGCTAAAATAGGACTCCCTTATTTGTCTAATTACTATTGAGCTATTATGATGTAGAGTGCTGTCCAAGCCCTGAGAATTCAAAAAGGAATTCAAGCACAGTTCTTAGCCTTGAGAAACCCACAATCTAACAGGCGAGGCAGATGGAATGTAAGAAACATCTATGAGGTGC